AGAAGACAGCTTGGACTACAGAGTGAGTTCAAGGCCAGCCTGGGCTCCAGAGAAAGACTGTGTCAAGTTTCAATCGATCGCGCTTTTGAAGATTGGCATTGAGTGGTTTGTGCCACAGACAGGCCTCCTTCCCAGTTACTCTCTGTGCTCCATTCTAGTTTCTTTGTGCTGAGAATTTTAGAGGAGGGAGAGGAGGGAAGGAGGAAAGGAGGGAGGAGGGGGAGAGGGAGGGAGAGGCGGCGGGGGGGGGGTAGCAAATGATTCCTTTCTGGCGGGAGGCATGTCTCCTTCAAGGAGTTTCTAGATCTTTCCAGAAAAAGAGAGAAAAGGACTCCACTACGGAGTCCTGAGCACAGTGAAGGTAAGAACTAGGCCTTCAGGCGGGTAGAGAGGCCTCCTTGCTCTCTAGCTCCCTCCCCTCCACAGCCTCTGACCTACACAAGCAGCTGAGGGGTGGGGGTGGGGAGATGGAGAGGAGAGAGGAAATGAGAGGGGTGAGGAGAGGAGGCAGACTCATGCCTGGCCTCACTCTTCTGGCTTTGCTGAGGAGAGGATGGCAGACAGGAGAGCTGTTAAGGTCCAGGACAGTCTCAGGAGCCCATCAAGTAAGCTCAAGCCAAGCTGGATGATAAGCCAGGCCAGCTGGGGATGTTTGCTTAAGAGATGCTTGCCAGGGCAGTCGAGCCAGAGGAAATAAAATGTGTCTCACAGAACCTCGGTAGGCAGGGAAGGTGTGTCTCCCCCGCCCCCCCCCCCAGGCCTAAGGAAGACCTGGGTGGCTGACTTTGGTCTTGTCCAGCTGTGGAGCAGAGGTGAGCCAAAGCCTGAGGTCTGTATGGCTGAGAGGAAGAGCTCAGAAGCCCAGCAAGGATGGTGAGGTCTCTCAGGGGGCAATCGCCGGCCTCTTGGCACTGATAACAAGGAAACTGGTTTATTGCTGGATTTTGTTCGGATTCTCTCCGAAAACCACATAAGCCTCTTCCTCCCCACAGGCCCTCAGCTGGCATAGTTTCCCATGGCCACTCATCACCCTGTGCCACTGTAACACCTGGACTCTTGTTTCTCTCTGATTCCCAAGGCTTCTGTGGCAAGGAGTGACATCCACCCAGTACCTGGCCTCAGGGCTGGGGAACCCAGGGCTTAGAGCCCCAGGCTTCAGCTTCAGGAAGTTTCCCTTGCCTTTGCCTTGGAAAGCATTGTCTAAAGGCAGCTGAGATTGTGCTATGGTGCTACATGGAAGTGTCGCCCTCTTCAGGCCCAGCTGAGAGATGCCTCGATAGTCACTAGTACTTCCAGAGGACCCAGGTTTGGGTTACAACGCCCACATGGTGGTTTGAACACTCCTGCAAACACATCAGTTGCTGCCTACACTCTGGGCTGCTAAAACAAGGTGTCATGTCATAAATAACAGCTGTTACTGAACCAAGGAATCTGTGATCAAGGTGAGGGCCTGCCCTCCTTGATGACTTTGATGTGTCCTGACAGGGTGCAAGGGGCCAAGCCTTTCCTTCACTCTCTTTTATAAGGGCTCTAACCCAACCACAAGGGCAGGGCCCTTGAGACCCAATTCTCCCAAAGCCCAGGCTCTTGGCACCTCACCTTGGGGCCAGGTTTCAGCATGTGAACCTGAGGTGCAGAGATCCAATCTCAGACTGTAACAGCCCTTGCCATCTGCGATTAGCTTTAATGTTCGTATCCAGTTGACATGACTAATATTCTTAGAATAGGGCCTGGCAAAGTGGCTCAGTGGTTCAGAGTTTTTGCTGTTCTTGAAGAGGATTAGAGTTCCATTCTTTTAACTGCCTATACCTCCAGCTCCAGGAGATCTGAGCCCTCTTCTGACCTCTAAGGGCACCGCCCCCCCCCCCCCCCCCCCCCGCCATATACACACAAAGGATTTGTTGAAACGTTTTATTATAGATAACAAAACATGTATGATTTATGAAAGGCTAAGTTATCCCGTGTTAAACTGCTTGACTTGTGTTCTTGTGTGCAAGTCTGGAACTCTCCCTGTTCACATGTGAGGCTCTAATGGCATGTGGGGGGTTTCCAGCCCAGTTCTTCCCATCTTGTCTTCCATAGCTGCTGTTCACATTCAGCCCTAGTCTCAATTCTGTCCTTTTAGCAGCACCTGCAGTCACTGTCATTACAACTTATCTCCCCAGCACACTTTCCTCAGGTCATTTATTGAGCAATTACCATTTTTACAGTCTTAAGTTTTACAGTCTTAATTTTCTTTTTCCAGACAGGGTGTCTCTGTGTAGCCACAGCTGTCCTGGAACTCACTCTGGTGGCCTCGAATTCACTTCTGCCTCCCATGTGCCACCACTGCCCAACTCTTTAAAAAATATTTTGAATTGAAATAGAATTATACCACTTTCTCCCTTTCCCATGCCCCCAATTTCAAGTTGATAGCCCCCTTTTCTTTGAATATATATATATATATATGGGAAATTCAAACAAAGATGGGGAGAGAAAGAAGGCAGAGTCAAGGAGATGCCATGTAGCTGCCGGGGAAGCAAGAAGTGAGGTAACAAGCCAGGAGCCTTGTGGTAAAATACAGACTAATGGAAAGAGTGAGAGCTAGTCAGTAATATGCCTGGACCATTGGCCAAGCAACTGTAATTCATATTAAGCTGAAGAGAATTTGGGAACTTGTAGGTGGGACAAAAAAAAACCTCCATTTACACACACAGACTTATGTGCATGCACAAATACATATAAATACCATCTCTGAGTGTCTTTCTGTTGTTTGTGTGTAAATGGCTGCAAGGACGACCCCTCTGCACTGGACAACCAATAAGGGCTTACTTTCCTCCCAGCAGCCATTAATGGCCTGTAGTTCTTTGTCTAGAGGTAGTGCTCAGAGAAACGTTCTCTCTTCCCTGTGAGCATGCCCACTCTCTCTCTCTTCCCTGTGACCATGTCCACTGATACTGCCACTGGACACTTCCTCTTTACAAGCCATTTCTAGGAGAGATGATTCACGGGGAACGTCTTGGTATTCTGACTCCTACAATCTTTCTGCTCCCTCTTCTTCAATGTTTCCTGAGCCACAGGTGAAGGAGTTGTGAAGGTGAAGGAGACGTATCCACGTATCCTATGATCTGTTCATCTCTGCTTTTGTGTCTAGTTATGGTTTTCTGTGATGGCCTCCATTTGCTGTAGAGAGGCCTCCTGATGAGGGGCAGGCACCGCAGGTACTGGGAAGGTGGGCTGAGCACCTCCTCTCGTTTCTGAGACAGTGTATCACCATGTTGTCCAGGCTGGCCTTGAACTTGGAATCCTCAACTTCTTGCACCACTCTTGGCTCAGCCATTTTTTCCCTTTAATCTTTTAGCTTCTGATTGTTACAAAGAAACTCCCCCTTATTTTTCTTTGTAGAAATCTTTACTAAATCTTCTATAGTCATAGATTTCTTTCCTTTTTGGGGGGATAGGGGTTTGTTGTTGTTGAGACAGGGTTTCTCTGTGTAGCTTTGGAGCCTGTCCGGGAACTCTCTCTGTAGACCAGGCTGGCCTCGAACTCACAGAGATCCACCTGCCTCTGCCTCCTGAGTGCTGGGATTAAAGGCGTGCACCACTAACACCTGGCCTATAGTCATAGATTTCAAACTGCCCCAACTAATCCCCAAGACAAGATTCACTCACAAAATGTCTGACCTGACACCCTCCAATGCCCACCTTGGAGTTTGCAGGCTCTGTGCTGCTCGTGTGGTCGTGTACTGCTCTCTGGTGGGCCGCCCATGTCAGTGCACTGGATCTCCTGGAGGACAGCCTGCTGCTGCCTTGGGTTCTGGGGACCCTGCAGTGAACTGAGCCAACCGACGCTAATTTAAAAGAGGACGACAAGACAGTCTGGACCTGACACAGCAGAGTAGCCCAGAGCCCTCCAGGAACAGCACTGTGAGCCCCAAGCACAGATCCCTCACCTGAGAGGCACCAACTGTTAATGGAAACTGACAGCAGCAGCAGATTGTGCAAGGAAAGTGTGAGCCCAAGCACTCAGGGGCTGTGCAAGGAAAGTGTGAGCCCAAGCACTCAGGGGCTGGGGGCTGCCCAGAGCAGGGGCAGGCTCATCTCTCTGCAGCAGGTCTTTCTTTGGACTACTAGCTTCGGAATAATGACACGGAGACTTCTTACTAAGTGTGAATGCTTGGTCTTAGCATTGTTCTCAACTAGCTCTTAAAACCTAAATTACTCCCTTTATATTAATCAATGTTCTGCCACTTGGCTTGGTACCAACCCTCAGCACTTTACAATGGATTTCTTCTGTCTGGCTGTTGCATCTTTGCCTTTCTGATTCTTTTCCTAAGTTCCTCTGTCTTCCCAAAGTCCCACCTGCATAGCTACTGGCCATTCAGCTCTATATTAGACCAATCAGAGGTGCCTTGGGTAGGTGAGGTAAAACAGAGACATCTTCACAGTGTGACCTCTCTTGATCTACCCCTCCCCCATGCTGGGGACTGAACTCATGGCCTTGTGCTAGCTGGATAAACCCCCTATCACTGAGAGGAGTCCCCACACAACACCCTCACACAGTGATGGGAGTGGCTAGGATTGTCCATGCTAACCCTACACCACCCTCTCTATTACTGTTGTCACACACTTGCCTAGGGCCTCTCTCCATACTCCCAGGATGGCTTCCCCAAGATAGGCAGGCTCAGCCTCAGAGCTGGGGGTGTTTGATGGTTGGATACTTCAGGGATCACTACAAATCTCTGCATTAGTCTCCATAAGAAGCCTTACTGGGTCTTGGTTAATTTTTCGTTTTTTTTAAGCCTCCTCTATTCCAGGATTTATACTGGCCACAGGTGGTTTGGGGTTCAGATGGGAAACAATAGATTTGCATGCACAGTGGTCTCTGAGATCTTGGATGAGGCCCCTCAGAACAGAGATGACAAAGCTGTTATTCAATCTTGTAGGACAAGTTGTGTCCTCTTGATAAGCATAATGGAGGGGCATCCTGTTTCCTTGATAAAATTCCCCAACAAAAGCAACTTGGGGGAAGATGGGTTTATTTGGCTCAAAATTCGAGTTCACCAAGCTGGGATAGCAGGAACTTGAGGCAGCTGGTCACACTGCACCTGCAGTCAGGAAACACAAGATAAATGAGTCTAGGACTGTGGTGGTTTGAATGACAACGGCCCCATAGGCTCCTGGATTTGAAGGTTTGGTCCCCACTTGGTAGAACATTTTTGGGAACGATTAGGAGGTATGGCCTTGTTGGAGAGGGTGAGTCTCTGAGGGTGGGCTTTGGGTGGGCCTGGTCTCCTTCTCTCCCCACCTGCTCTTTGCCCTGTTGGTTGTCAGCTCAACATGTAAGCTCTGGGCTACTGCTCCAGTGCCAACCCTTCCTGCCTGCCTGCCACCATGCTTCCTGCCATGATGATAATGGACTCATCTTCTGAAACTGTGAGCCCGACAGGGTTTCTCTGTGTAGCTTTGGAGCCTGTCCTGGAACTCACTCTGTAGACCAGGCTGGTCTTGAACTCACAGAGATCCACCTGCCTCTGCCTTCCGAGTGCTGGGATTAAAGGCATGCGCCACCACTGCCTGGCTGAGCCCCCACTTTAAATGCTTTCTTTTATAAGCTGTCTTGGTCATGGTGTCTCTTCACAGCAGTAGGAAGGTAACTGAGCAAGAACCCAAGCCTAAGGGATGTTGCTGCCCACGTTTAGGGTGTGTCTTTTCAATTCAATTAATGTACCACAGTCAAGATAAACCCTCATAGCCGAACACAGAGGCTAACCTAATCTAAATCATCTCCTGTCGGTGTGCCCAAAGGCTTGTCTCCTAGGTGATCCTACAGCTTGTCAGGTTGGCAATCCACAGTAACCATGATGGGGTAAGGCATGGAGGTGGGGGTACCTGTGGAATTTCTGACAAATGGAATAGCAGATGCCAGGGTGGTGCTGAGGAGCTGAGAAAGTGTCTGGGCTTGGAGCAAAGAGTGAGAGCACAGTGTTCAGAAAGAAGGTGATGGGCTGGGTGTGAAGCAGGCTAGCCAAGGAGCTTAACTCAAACACCCGTGAACACACACACACATACACACACCTTGGCCATTCGTAGCTCCTTATGTAACTTCTGAAGATCTAAATTCGTCCTATCCCTGTGAGGTGACGCCATGTCCTTGAACATTAATTTAAAAGTTCTCCTGGCTGACAATCCCAATTAGTTGATACTAAATTCAGTGCACGAAATAAATTCTTTATTTTTAACATAAGGAGGCTTCTAATACTTACTAACAGGTCATTGGGTTCTTTTCACTCGAACCATGAACAGATATTTTAAGAACAATGACCCATTTGTGCGCCAAATTATTAGCTTTCTGGTCACGAACATTAACCTCTAGCTGCCCTGGGTGGGGGCCTTTAGCTCTCCTCTCCCAGGTAGAAATGGGGCTGCTTCATTGGCCGGGCGAGCTGGAGTCAGTAAGCTGCATCTAGTACTCCACATAGGCTATTTGGGAACAATGTTTTTTTGTTTTTTTTTTTTTTTTGGCAGATGTTTTGGCAGTGGACCTTGTGTGTCATGGATGCTTCCATACCCCGCCCTTAAGTTTTGATACTCTTCTATGTTGAAGGGGGTCTCTCAGTCTAATGTTCAGAGGTACAGTCTGTGGTAACTGTGCCCACAACGCACATGTCTACTCTGTTATTATTAAGAATAGCCATTACAATTTTTTTTTTTACTTTTTAAAAATTAAAAAAAATCAATTCTTTTCTGGGCAGTTGGGCCTAGCAAATGAGTTAACCCGAGTTTCTATTTCCTCATGAAAAAGGAACTCAGGTTTATTCCCTCTCTGTCTCCTCTCCTCTCTCTCCCCCTCTCCCTGGGTGTCTGTCTGTCTGTCTCCCCCCCTGTGTGTGTGTGTCTGTCTCCCCTCCCCATGTGTGTGCGTGTCTGTCTCCCCCCCCCCGTGTGTGTGTGTCTCCCCCCCCCCGTGTGTGTGTGTCTCCCCCCCCCCGTGTGTGTGTGTCTCCCCCCCCCCGTGTGTGTGTGTCTCCCCCCCCCCGTGTGTGTGTGTCTCCCCCCCCCCGTGTGTGTGTGTCTCCCCCCCCCCGTGTGTGTGTGTCTCCCCCCCCCCGTGTGTGTGTGTCTCCCCCCCCCCGTGTGTGTGTGTCTCCCCCCCCCCGTGTGTGTGTGTCTCCCCCCCCCCGTGTGTGTGTGTCTCCCCCCCCCCGTGTGTGTGTGTCTCCCCCCCCCCGTGTGTGTGTGTCTCCCCCCCCCCGTGTGTGTGTGTCTCCCCCCCCCCGTGTGTGTGTGTCTCCCCCCCCCCGTGTGTGTGTGTCTCCCCCCCCCCGTGTGTGTGTGTCTCCCCCCCCCCGTGTGTGTGTGTCTCCCCCCCCCCGTGTGTGTGTGTCTCCCCCCCCCCGTGTGTGTGTGTCTCCCCCCCCCCGTGTGTGTGTGTCTCCCCCCCCCCGTGTGTGTGTGTCTCCCCCCCCCCGTGTGTGTGTGTCTCCCCCCCCCCGTGTGTGTGTGTCTCCCCCCCCCCGTGTGTGTGTGTCTCCCCCCCCCCGTGTGTGTGTGTCTCCCCCCCCCCGTGTGTGTGTGTCTCCCCCCCCCCGTGTGTGTGTGTCTCCCCCCCCCCGTGTGTGTGTGTCTCCCCCCCCCCGTGTGTGTGTGTCTCCCCCCCCCCGTGTGTGTGTGTCTCCCCCCCCCCGTGTGTGTGTGTCTCCCCCCCCCCGTGTGTGTGTGTCTCCCCCCCCCCGTGTGTGTGTGTCTCCCCCCCCCCGTGTGTGTGTGTCTCCCCCCCCCCGTGTGTGTGTGTCTCCCCCCCCCCGTGTGTGTGTGTCTCCCCCCCCCCGTGTGTGTGTGTCTCCCCCCCCCCGTGTGTGTGTGTCTCCCCCCCCCCGTGTGTGTGTGTCTCCCCCCCCCCGTGTGTGTGTGTCTCCCCCCCCCCGTGTGTGTGTGTCTCCCCCCCCCCGTGTGTGTGTGTCTCCCCCCCCCCGTGTGTGTGTGTCTCCCCCCCCCCGTGTGTGTGTGTCTCCCCCCCCCCGTGTGTGTGTGTCTCCCCCCCCCCGTGTGTGTGTGTCTCCCCCCCCCCGTGTGTGTGTGTCTCCCCCCCCCCGTGTGTGTGTGTCTGTCTGTCTCCCCCCCCCCCGTGTGTGTGTGTGTGTGTGTGTCTGTCTGTCTCTCCCCCCGCCGTGTGTGTGTGTCTGTCTGTCTCCCACCCCCCGTGTGTGTGTGTCTGTCTGTCTGTGTGTCTGTCTCTCCCCCCCCCCGTGTGTGTGTGTGTGTGTGTCTGTCTGTCTCTCCCCCCCGTGTGTGTGTGTGTGTGTCTGTCTGTCTCTCCCCCCCGTGTGTGTGTGTGTGTGTCTGTCTGTCTCTCCCCCCCGTGTGTGTGTGTGTGTGTCTGTCTGTCTCTCCCCCCCGTGTGTGTGTGTGTGTGTCTGTCTGTCTCTCCCCCCCCCGTGTGTGTGTGTCTGTCTGTCTCCCACCCCCCGTGTGTGTGTGTGTCTGTCTGTCTGTCTGTCTGTCTGTCTGTGTGTGTGTGTCTGTCTCCAGGCTCAAGGGTAAGAAGGGTCCCTCCACACGGCCTGGCTGTCTGGGAACTTACTCCGCGGACCAGGCTGGCCTGGAACTCCCACTCTCCCGGGCGGCTGGTGCGGAGAGCAATGACTACACCAGCTTCTTGGGTTCACAGGCCGTGTGTGAGCCGGGCAAACCCGGAAGGTGCGGGTCAAAGGGCAAAGGTCGAAG